TTATTGGAGCCTCAGGAAGAATCACATCCATGTCTTTCATGGCTGAATGCTAACCTGTTTACATTCTGTGTCTTCCAGAGAGAAACGGGCCTCGCGTCCCTTCTGCCAAGAAATTAGCTCGTACCAACGGCTACAGTCTTGCAAAAAGCATGGTAAACCTTTATACCACCACGGAAAGTAAGTAGCAGCCTGCCTCAGTCTCTTGGCGGTGTTTTTCTATTAAGATAAGCTTGGCAAATAATGGCCTGGGATCAGTTGAGCAAAGCAAAGCTGGGCTGTGCACAGAATCTCTTTTGCGGGTGCAAAAAATTCACCCTGTTCTGCTCTCTGCTTGAGTGTAAAGGGAAAGGATGAAGGAGGATCACCAACCTCTTCAGAGCCTTAAAAAAAGAAAATAATGTGATATTTTGCTGCTGTTGCTTTTCCATCAAAAGTGCAATAAATAAATGAGTTGTCTCCCACTTAATGAAGATTCTATGAATGAGTGGTACCGAAAATGTCCGGTTTCTCAACTGCCCTCCTTGGCTCTTGCAAACTCAAGGCTGTGGGTGATATTTTGCTGCTGTTGTTCTTCCATCAAAAGTGCAATAAATAAATTAGTTGTCTCTGACTTAATGGAGACCTTATGAACGAGTGGCATCGAAAATGTCCTGTGTCTCAGCCGCCCTGCTTGGCTCTTGCAAACTCAAGGCTGTGGTTCCTTTAGGGAGTCTGTCCATCTTGCATCTAGTCTTCCTCTTTTCCTGCTGACTTCAATTTTTCCTAGCATTGTTGTCTTGACCTACGAGTCCTGTCTTCCCATTTGCTGTCCTTATGTGCTGGTTGTCTTGACCCGCGAGTCTTGTCTTCCCATTTGCTGTCCTTATGTGCTGTCAAGTCGCTTACCCTATGAAATCTCCTGTCCTAAGCTGCCCTGCTCAAGTCTTGTAAACTCAGGCCTGTGGCTTCCTTTAGGAAGTCGGTCCATCTCGTTTTTGGTCTTCCTCTTTTCCTGCTGCCTTCCACAATAGGATTGCCTCTGTTTTATCATTTTCCCCCTCTTTATTAGACATATTTATATTTTCCCTTTCTTCTACTGAGCTCAAGGCAACGTAGGTGGTAGGAGCAGAACCCGAATCAGGATGGAGAGGAAGCCGGGAGCTGTGCCACACGATTTAATTTGCCTGCCACAAAGACTGGTGTAAGGAAGGCCTAAAAAGATAGGCATCTGATCAGCACCTATATTTAGCAGGAGGAAATTCAACAAGTTTCCCGCAGCATCATTAGAATCATAACCTGATTAAAGAAGGTCGACCTTCTTTTTAAAAAAATCTGTTTTGGCTAATCAGTTTTCAGTATCTGCCACTAGATGGAGGCAAATGTATCTTTTTTTTAAAAAATGCTTTGGTAATGGTATCATTATTAGAGCGATGGTAGTTCAAGAAAGGGAGATGAATCATAAATCAGATTTTAAAACACCTGTGCATGTTTATGCCTTTCAGAAAGCCATTTTATTTGCAACAGCATCTGTTGCATCATGTCTGGTACTGATCATTGATAATTAAGCTACCCTCATTAAGTTTTGCAACATCAGAGCAAGGCAAGGGATGCAGAAATCTCTCAGCTTCATATTTGCTGCCTGTTTCTCAGAAACATAGAGGCATTTTCACCCCCGTCCAAGTTCTATAAAAGGATGCAAAAATTTCTTTCTGTTTATAAATCCAGGTTCATTTTTCAGTCCATTTTTGGTAATGTGCAAGGAAGGTATATTTTTTCCATTGATTAAATGTGTTTCGTGCATAGTTTTCAAATATATATATAGTCATGCACAAATATATATTTAGTCATGCATTTTTGCATGCATATAAATCAATAACCCCGAAGTAAAATAATATCAATAAGAGTCTGAGACTCGTGCTTAGTTCCACCAAATGAGAAATTAAATGATTTGGGCATATTTTTGTTCATGGCCCATGGGTGTGTGTGTGTGTGTGTGTGCTTTGGGCATATTTTTGTTCATGGCCCATGTGTGTGTGTGTGTGCGTGTGCGTGTGCGTGTGCGTGTGCGTGTGCGTGTGCGCTACGCCACCAAAATGTAGAGGTGGGCCTGCTCCACTGCATGTCATTTATGTCACAAAATGGAAATGCTCTAATGTGAATCTTCTGTATGTGTGTTTTTTTCTATTTAAGTACAAGAGACTTTAATTTTGAGCTTTATTTTGGGTTTTTTCCCCTCCAGCCTATACTAAGCCTCAAACGCTAACCCACCAGTACCTTGAGCTACGCCTCCAAAATGTAGAGGTGGGCCTGCTCCACTGCATGTCATTTATGTCACAAAATGGAAATGCTCTAATGTGAATCTTCTGTATGTGTGTTTTTTTCTATTTAAGTACAAGAGACTTTAATTTTGAGCTTTATTTTGGGTTTTTTCCCCTCCAGCCTATACTAAGCCTCAAACGCTAACCCACCAGTACCTTGAGCCCGAGAGAGCAAAAGATCTGAGCAAATCCAGTCCTCTCCTGCTCTCTGAGGTAAAATTCTGTCGTTTCCTTTCGACACTTTAGGAAAGCTGTTCGGGAGGCCAGCTCTTTCCAAGTAGGGACATGATTCGGAGCTCAGCGGTTACGGGGACGGGTCTCCTCAGAGAGCTGCATTGAAGTGCCATGGTCAAAGTTTCACAAAAGGCTCGGGTACCAGAAATTCAAGATGTTGGACTTGGGCCAGAGAAGTGGCCGGGGGGTTTCATCCCTGACTCTTGACTTTCCATAAAATACCTCAGCCAGAAGGGTTGGCCTGCCCTGAGAGAGTCGCAGGATGCTAGTTCGTGCGGGTGAGGCCAAATGTCTCCGCCGGAATTCGGCCGGAGCTCAGGTGCCACCAGTGAAGTTGTTTTTAAGAGAGGAGAGGAGTCGGGTTTTGCCACCAGATAGCGGGATGGGTACGTGGCCCTTTTTTGGAAAAAAAAATATTGTGCACCCCCTAAATATATTCGGTGGTGGCAGTGGCCACAAAATGAGGAGGGACCTGTGTATCACCCACATATTGTACGCGTCTCCTTTTGTGTCCGGTTCCACACTAGTCATCCTGTTGTTGTCATCAAAAATCCTCCTTCTCCTATATAAAGTCCTATTTCTTGATAGAATATATGTACGCCTTGCATTTCTTCCCAGGGGGTTGTTGGGGGGGGCATCCATTTTTCTTTCCCCCTCCCTTTTACCCTTGGTATCCTCACAAAGAACCCACAGTTAGGCTGAGCGATATGGCCGTGTCTCATGCAGACCGCCCTAAAACTGAAGGGGATTTTAATACCGGGCTCCCTTGACCGCTCGGCCAATCTAACCACTACACTCTGCTGCCCATTGTAGAGCTTCCACTGCCAGTTCTAATGCCCTTCTGGGTGTCCTTTGTAGACGGAGTCAGACACGGCCTCTGAGATCAGCTTCCAGCTCAACGGGCACAAGAAGTCTCCGAGTGTCGGGAGCCACTCGTCCGGCATGGCCTCTGTTTCTTCAGTAGGTACCCAAAGGTGTCTCTCTCCATACAGAAATACCAAGGGTGGGCTTCGCCCATCTACGTTCTCCAAGACTTTGTCTGTATTTTCTCACCATCCCATCCCATGTAGAAATATATGCCTGTTGGTTCATATCTTCTGTTAACCTAGATATCAGTAAAAACTTCCTAACTGTTAGAGCAGTACAGCAATGGGAGAGTGCTCCGACGCTGGAGGCCTTCAAGAGAAAATGAGACAACCCTCTGTCCGATCTGCTTTAGATTTGGATTGGGGTTGGACTAGATGGCCTTAGAAGCCCCCTTCCAACTCCATTATACTATGATGCTATCCTGTTATCCTTACCTGAAGGAGATTCATTGGGTCTGGAGAGCTTCCTCCCCCTGGCCTCCAAGAGATAAGAAGCTCATCAGATCCTTCTTGCCTGGCCCCTCTTTTATCCTGTGCAGGTGAGTGGAAGCGTCTTGAGTGTCTACAGTGGAGATTTTGGGAATGTCGATGCCCAGGGGCTCGTTCAGTTTGCCTTGGATTACGACGAGAAAAACAGAGAATTCCAGATATTTGTTTCCCAGTGCAAAGACCTGGCTGTCGTGGATGAGAAGAAAGCAAGGACGGACCCGTGAGTGAAGATAAAACACTTTAAAAATCAAACAGTGCAAAACGAAATGACCATTGCGCCTTTAGCAAATGAATTAACTTTTCTGAGCTCTGCCCTCAGGTGGTAAACATATAATTCTCAAAATGCGATGCCCAGAAGTGGACACTGTACCTTGGACAAAAGGAATTATCTGATAATGGGCTGAAATCCTGTTGCACAGCTCTGCCTGTGCAGTGCCAGTGACGTCATCATGGGTGGCAAAGTGCCACTGGATAAACTGGATTTTGGTGGCATACATGGCAAGTACACATTTCAGCAAAGTTGTGTGCACCGCAAAATTACCGAAGGAAGCCTTTAATCAGTAGCAACGTACTGACGGTGACGATCTCAGCACCCTTACGCATGCGGAGCTGCGCGACAGGATTTGAGCCACTGTTTCCCATGCTCAAGCCTGCCTCGTCTAGCCTGCTGTTTCTCCATAGCCCTGGGGGAATTCTATTTGGGGGAATCCCATCCCAACCTATCCTTCATTGACAGAATTGATGCTTTATACCCGGACACTCTTCCCATTGAGCGAAATCCACCATCTTTTTTCAGGTACGTCAAAACCTACCTGCTTCCAGACAAAGCACGAATGGGGAAAAGGAAGACGTCTGTGAAAAAGAGGACCATCAGCCCCATTTACAATGAGGTGTTGCGGGTAAGAAGGTTCAGATCGGGGCAAGGGGGTGCGGGAATTTAGGGTCTTTTGCCAGTCTCTATCGAACACTTGCTAAACAGAAACAAAAAGGTGCACAAAAATGCTCAGCTGCCGGTTCCCTCTTTTGCAGTATAAAATAGAGAAGATGGTTTTGCTGATTCAGAAACTGAACCTTTCCGTCTGGCACAACGACCCTTTGGGGCGGAACAGCTTCTTGGGTGAAATGGAAATAGACCTGGCCGGCTGGGATTGGAGAAACAATAAACTGAACTGGTACATGCTCAAACCACGGGTAAGCGTTGCCTACTGGTTACCTGAAGGCAGAAGTATTTATTAGAAAAATGCTGATTATGCATGAACATTTTTAAAGGCATATCCTATATACTTTCCCCCTCTCTTTCTGGAAGCTTTATTGATCTGTTGGATGGTTTTCTAGGACAAAACAATTCATAAACACACTGGTGAAAATGTGGCTTTTTCAAATAAGGTAGTGTAAAGGCAGCAATCAACATAACTACAGAAGAAACACAGATCTTTATGTACTGACATGAAGAAATTGAACAAGTTGGAGATTTTAGTATGCCTGGGTCCAGTCGCCAATCCGAAGGAAGACTGCAGCCAAGATATCAGACGGGTAGCCATGAAGGCATTAGAAAACATCATTAAGTGTAAGGATGTGTCACTGGAGACCAAGATCTTCCAAATTCTTCTGTTTCCCATCACCATGTGAAAGCTGACGGGGAATACGTAAATGGATTTATTTGAAATAGGGTGCTGGAGGAGAGTTTTGGGCATAACCCGGGACTGCCAGAAAGTGGGTCGTAGAGCAAATCAAGCCTGAATGATCTCTGGAAGTCAAAATGTTGAAGCCGAGCCTGTCCTATGTGGGGCACATTGCAAAAAGGCAGGGTTCTCTGGGAAAGACAATCGTGTTGGGAAAGGTGAAAGGCGACAGGAAAAGAGGAGGACCCAATAGGAGATGGACCGGCTCCCTAAAGGAAGCCCCAGGCTTGAGTATGCAAGGGCTTAGCAGGGCTGTTGAGGAAGAGGGCCTTTTGGAGATCGCTCATTCATAGGGCAGGAAAGCTAGATGGTCTTCCTGTGCCCCAAAGGACAGTAAAGCAGGACAAGGTGGGGTAGCTTTTCTTGTCTCCACACTCCATTTCTTTTGCACACACACACCCAGCTACATCTGCCCTCTTGCCACTACCAGGTTTAAGAAGCCCCTTTGCACTTTGTCTTTTTCTCCTTCAGAGCCTTTCAGCCAACCACTGTGTCGGCCATCGGGGGGTGATGGACCTCGCCATCAAATACGTTCCTCCTGGAAGTCTAGGTAAAAGAGCCCCCTGCGGTTTGGTGGATCATGAAACGCTATGGATAATTTTGGATGCAATGGACACAACCCGGCCGCTGGATTGCCCTGAGGCACATCCTGTACTCTGGAGAAGAGTCCACTCTTAGCGTAGAACAGGGGCTCCCAACCTTGGGTCCCCAGAGGTTCTTGGACTAAAACTCCCAGAAGCTTTCCCCACGAGCGCCGCTGGCCAGGATTTCTGGGAGTTGCAGTCCAAGAACATCTTGGGAACCACTGGCATAGAATATGGAAAAATGGAGTGGCTTCTTATAGGTCAACATCTCAGACCAAGGTGTGTTTTATCTCCCAGTGGCCAAAACCCTGTTGCGCTTGGCGTCGCATAAATTTACGCCTGCAGAGGTTCACCAGAAGTTATGTCAGGCAGTCCATGGGTCTGACGGTGCGGCTGCTTGCACAATTAACGGCACAACCAACCATGCAGCCGGCTGTGCAACTCAGCACACAATTCAGTACTGACTGTGTTCTAGTTGTGCAATTAATAGTGCAAGCAGTGCAATCAATGCTACATTTGACCACTCACTTAAAATATTCCTAATTTTTTTAACATAGAAGGTCCTCTTTATACCATTTAGTATAAGTTATACCATTACACGATGCCTTAAGCCCAGAAAATCCCTTTCTGTCTTATTACCATTGAAGAGAGTAAAACTGAGCAACATTGACCTTCATGTAATTTAAATTAATGGTTTGGGGCCATGTCTTAAGCCCAGAAAATCCCTTTCTGGCTTACTACCATTGAAGAGAGTAAAACTGAGCAAAATTGACCTTCATGTAATTTTTAATTGATGGTTTGGGGGGGCACAGAGGTGCTGGGGGGCATACTTAGGCTCCAGAGGGAAGGGATGCCTGCCCATCCCTTTAGCAAAAGAATAAAACGGACAGCACAATCCTAAAGCCCACCCTCGCCATGCGCAACCCTAGTTCACTAGATACTCAATACATTTATGAATGAACGGCACCTACATATTTACTGGTTAACCATAGCTAATTTGATTTTTCACAGGTTGGAAGACTCCTCCCTCTGGGGAGGTTCACATCTGGGTAAAAGACACCAAAGACCTCCCCCAGTTGCGTCCCTCGGGCGTGGATTCCTTCGTGAAATGGTTTGTGGACGAACCCTCTTCTCTCCCCCCCACCCGAATTTATTGATTGGAGCTGTATCAAATTCCTTGTTCCGTCTGACGGGCTCCAGCTCTTTAGAATGCAGATGGGCAACTGGGGCTGCCCAGATCCTGTTGGGCCACCACTCGGTCCTGGGCAGCGCAGCAGGAGTCGAAGGATGCTGGACTTTGGGGTGCGACCTCACTTAGAGTGCAGTCTCAAGGTGCCCAGCCTGCTCTTAAATGTGCAACCCCTTAACTCAGACTATTCCGACCCATTGCCCTTTAATTGTAGTGTGTGACAATTATTATCCTATTATTCCCAGGTATTCTGTCTGGGTAAGATGGGAGTTGTAGTCCGACAAGTCTATAAGGTGCTGGGTCCTGCCGCTTAGCTCGTGAGGATGATTTCCGCTTTCACCCGAGGACTTGAGTTGAATTGTCCATGTGCTGTCATGGCTCAGAGATGCTGGCTGAAATCCTGTGATGCAGCTAAGCAAAAAAGCGTAAATTCCACAGCAGTGGTCCCCATCCTTGGCTCCCCAGATGTTCTTGGACTACAGACTCCCAGAAATCCTGGCCATTGGAGCCTTTGGTGAAGGCTCCTGGGATTTGTAGCCCAAGGACATAACCTGTGGGAGGGGGGAAGTAGCTTGCTCCATTACTATGTTACTCACGACTCCCAAGACGTCAAGGCAACTGTCCAGACCTCTGGCAGGAGAGAGAAGAAGACCTATTAGAGATGTTTTCCAAAAATGGGTGTAAACACCCGCTGTCCAACTCACGTGTCAGGGAAGAAAGAACGCTCCCCTAAGTCTCCCCACAATGGAAAAACATTACTCGGCAGTTCAAAAAACAAACAAACAAACCCTCAGCGTCATTGCATCTTTCCATAAAACCGTCTAGGACGGTTGCCCCTTATTGGCTCCAGGAAGTAATTTTTTTAAATGGGATCAGTCGTTACCTTAGTGACCAGAATTCAGTCCGAGATTGAGGCCTGCGTGAGGGTAGTTGTCTCCGTTATACTGGCACACTGCTGCACATTAATTCATTGCTCTTTGCATGCGGGGGGCTTGCCCGGTCACAGGACTTGGTGTGTGACAAACAATGCACCTTGTTTAGTGGCAGCTTCTCGCTGTGATTTATGTGATTATTCTTACGAGGATAAAAACCCTGATAGGATTCTGGCCAATGAATTACTTGCACATTCTGGGTGAATGGCTTTCCTTTCTTTCCCTTCCCTTGGCCTCAGTCATTCTGTTTGCAAAGCGGGGCAGTAAGAGTAACTTCCACTGCACACAAAGCATGGTTGAAAACATTGTGTGGATGTTGAGTGCATTAACATTATAATGGGACCCTGGAAATAGCTGAAGAAACATAAAAATAGAGATCTTCTGATGTCCTCCATGATGTAACTTGCGGTTTCCCTCTTTTTAAGCTATGTCCTTCCAGACACAAGTAAGAAAAGCTACCAAAAAACCCGAATTATCAAGAGAGATTCAAATCCCATCTTCAACCATACGATTGTGTACGACGGGTTTCACACGGAAGATCTGAAAGACGCCTGTGTGGAGTTGACTGTTTGGGATCATGAAAAACTAACCAATCACTTCTTGGGAGGGATCCGGCTGGGACTTGGGACAGGTAACTAGATCACCTACTTAATGTCTCTTAAGCTGGGCAAAAGGAGAGAACATTCTGGTGTAAATGGGAAAAGCAGATGATCTAGGCTGGAATCAATCTGAATCAGAGTGATCTGGATTGATCTTCCCTGCCCCAACACACACAAACAAAGCCAACAGGATCCCAATCTGAATTGACTCCCTGCCCCTTTTTACATCATTTATGCCATGGCTAAGGATAAGAACTGTTTCCTGTCATGTGGCCAGCAGGAAATGGGCATTGAGGACCTTCTTGGAGGTCTCTACTTGAAGCCACTTCTACAGACAGTCTTTTTTTTTCCTCTCTGCTGTCTCTCTTTCAAAGGCTCTAGCTATGGGATAGTGGTTGACTGGATGGACTCTACGCAGGAAGAAGTGGCCTTCTGGCAGGAAATGATGATGACGGCGAATGAATGGATCGAAGGATCACTGCCTCTGCGCTCCTTGGCTGGGAAGAAGAAGCTAAAATGAAATCTGGGGCCACCAACGGAAGGAAAGGAGCCTGGATGAAGGACAGATGGAGGTGTCTCATTGCCACGATGCATCCAGGACTTTTGACCATCTCCTCATCATACAAGCCATGAAGGGCTTGGTCTTCTCTCTTGTCCCAAAAGTCTGGTAATCAGTGGAGATGAAACTCTTGAAGAACTGCTGTTTACCTTTGGAAGGACGGGTGGATCACGCCTTGAAGGATCATGAGATTTTGGGTATGTGTCCAAGAGGCAAGGGAGGTGTAAATATTTTGTAAAGGAGTTTGAATGTGGCTTCCTTGCCTCTTCCATAATGGTTTGGTTCTCGTCGTCCTGTGCCGAGGAGGTCAACGCGCTTACAGGCCGACAGCGAGGATCCAAAAGAAGTGTATGGACTGATGTAAACGCTACATGGACGTTGGTGAGGATGTGTCCGTGGTGTCGTCCTGTGCCGAGGAGGTCAAAGCGCTTACAGGCCGCCAGCGACGGTCCAATGCCAGAAGAAGCGTATGGACTGATGTAAACGCAACATGGACGTTGGTGAGGATGTGTCCGTGGAAGTTGCTTCCAGCTGAGCCAAAGAAATAAGCCATCTAGCCAACGTAATGCCCGTCTCTAAAGGTACCTCACGGCCTACCTTCAGGCCACTAGTAGCCATTTTGGCTGGTTTCTAAGGTTCTCTCAAAGAGCTTTCAATCTGATCCGTTGCACGACCAGCCTTACGAGGAGACAGAGTGGGGCAACCTACTCAGAAGCAGACGTCAACGGTGGTAACGACAGCAGCCCTCTGCCTGTTTCTTCCTCAGGTTTCCTAGTCATCTCCTTTTTTCAGAAGACCGGACTGTGTCCTCCATGGGGCCGGGGCCCTTCTAGTGCTGTCCGTTCTCCTGCTTCTCCCAGGCACATTGGGGAAGGCTAACTCATCCCGGGTACTGTGTTGACACTCAACGGACAGCCCCACCAGTTTAACCCTATCCAGCCCTGGCTTGAAGTGTGTGGAGCCCATGGACTTTGAGGGGAATCTGATCGGCGGTCTCTTTAATCACAAAAATGCAAGAGATCTGGAGAGGGGGGATGACGCTGTACCCAGAGGGCCTTTCTATCTGAGGCAGAACCCAGGTCTTCGGAGGCAGCAGGAAGGACTCATACGGGGAAGCCGACTCTCCCGTAGTGGCATTTGTGCAGTCAAAGTGACACCAGAAGGAGACAGGGCTAACACACTTGTTTCAACACTCCACATATTTTGAACAACAGCAGGAGAGGGCTTTTTTGTAAATGTATTTTGGGAGAGAGGTACTAGCTTGTCCTTTACCTCAGGCAGCAGAATATCTTTAGCCAGCCCTGACTTAGGGTGGCCTTAACCAAGCATGATTACTCAGGATTCTCATTGTACATTTTTTGATTATCCACAGAAACATCAAATATTGTGTCTAGTGGTATCATGGAGGAGGAAATGGAGCTCTGAGTCCATTTTTAAGAGCTGGAGTGATGGCCAGAGAACAATAGGATAATTGATGGACTCTCCTTAATCTAGCAAGTAAATGAGGGAATAATGAGGCTTTCAAGTTCCATTGCTGTTTTTGATTGGTTTGCACAGCGGAAGCCATAGGATGAAGCAGGGGAAAAAATGAAGCAGGATCTGGACAGTTCTTCTCCTTATTCCTCCTCGGTTTAAAAAGTACTTCTTGTTTGGAAGGTGGTTTACACTTCTAATTATAAAGTAAAGGGCAGCCTGAAGATGCTTTGTTCAAGCCTAGGTGGCCGAACCCAGATGCTAGTACCAACAACAATAAAATTGGTGGTTCCCAACTTTGGGTCCACCAGATGTTCTTGGACTGCAACTCCCAGAAATCCTAGCGAGTACAGGAGAAGTGAAGGCCCCTGGAATTTGCAGTCCAAGAACATCTGGGGGACCCAAGCTCTATAACCTTGCCGTCATCCTGCCCTATAAATTGTGGTATGTCATTGTTAGGTCCTACAGCCCATGTCCTGTCTCCAGATCTCATTGCCACTACATGAAAATAAGTGTTATTCATAAATCAACCTGCAAGCCATCTTGGCGAGACTAGAATAAATAATCACAACAGGAAATAATAAGTACTATAAGGTCAAAATGGCATGGGGATTATTAAAAAATGCTGATTCTTTTGGCCAAAAAAATTCAGAAGGACAGAAATTCCATTCTGTGTTGTGTTCATATTATGAGTAGTGTTTAAATGAAACCTCAGAGAAGATCATTAAGTTTTGTATGAATGAATGAATGTGTCCTGATAACAGATGATGTAGTCCTTTGTTATTTTTGTAGCACTTGGTTTTTCTACCGCTTTGAATGGGTAGCTTTGCTGGCCGGTCTTTATTTCACTTTTTTCAAGAAGTAAACACTTGAGAAACTGGGATGGAACCGTGTAGCTGACCTGATGTTTCCCACAACCCTGCAGTCCCTTTCCACTGGCAGTGCTGGGGAACTCCGGTTCAGGGGCACTGGAAGACCCAAACATCTGTTGGGTCAAAAATTCCCCACACCGATACTAAGGCAAAAAAAGAGATTCTTCTTAATGTCACAGATAGCTTTGGACAGCCTGTGATGAATGAAGAAATCTCCATGTTGCCTATTTTAGGAGCACTAATAATAAGGCAAAAAGGAGATTCTTCTTAATGTCACAGATAGCTTTGGACAGCCTGTGATGAATGAAGAAATCTCCATGTTGCCTATTTTAGGATGTTGCCTGTAACTGCTGTTGCTCTTCCCAACCAGAGTAGGTCTACTAACTCAATGGGATTTCCATTAGTGTTGACTTGCCAAAGCCTGTTGATTCCATAGAGTTACATTTGTTGGGCACAACAGTTGGATGTAGCCCTATGAGTTTTTACCGGTCAGACAGAATAATCTCTTAATGCCTGTGAAAATTAATTTATATGTAATAAACCAAAATATCTGGTTTGTGCTTGTTACCGATTGTTCTTGTTGTGTTTCTTTAGCACCATCAGTTTGCACCATATTTTGGAAAGTGCAGGAGCCCAGGGCTTCCAGTCTGAAATTTGACATTGGGAAAGGCCGCAGGAAAAGAAGATAAGCCCAATAAGAAAAAGATTGACTCAGTAAAGGAGCACAGAGGCTTCGGTATATAAGAGGTGAACAGGTTGTCAGTCATAGGGTTGCCAAAAATTGGAAGCAACTTGATGACACACAATAAGAAGACTTCCTTTCATTGTGCCAGTGATTCAGGCAAGCCATAAGGCTAGTCATCTTCATTTTTTAAAAAGATGTTTTCATTTCATTTTTGACTAGCAGAAAGGGACAAGTTCATTTCTGGTTCAAAATAAACAATGCCAACTCATTAAAGTTCTCATTTCCCCCTCTAAAGCTGGTATGCCTTGCTTTAGAGCACTGGTTCTTAGCCTTTGTTACTCAGATGTTTTTGGACTGCAACTCCCAGAAGCCTTCACCACCAGCTCTGCTGGCTGGGGTTTCTGGGAGTTGCAGTTCAAAAACACCTGAGTAACAAAGTTTAAGAACCACTGCTTTAGAGAACTACCAATCCCTGGAAGAGAGCATCAATTCTCAGATTTTTCTGACCGAAATTTTCTTGGTTTCAAGAGGGTCTGGGAACGGCAAGGCAGCCCCTTCCAGTGGCATTGCTGCTCCAGGCTTTTGCCTGTTCATCAGCCGTGGCCTGTAAGACCACCCTCTTGTTTCCAGACCTCCTCAGACCCACGTCCAACCAAGGGTTGGTTATGGGTCCCCCAGAAGGCACTGTCTCAGGTGTTGACAATCGTTCTAGAAACTGTGCGGTCAACATCAGGACCATTGAGAAAGTGAGATCTGTGTTGGTCTGTGCCTCCGTTCTAGAAACGGTGAGGTCAACATCAGGACCATCTCTCAGAAAGTGAGATCTGTGTTGGTCTGTGCCTTAATCAAAACCATACCCAAATCCAACCCAGTTGTGCTACCTCACAGGTGAACCAAGTTATTTCATGGTTGTTGTGGGTTTTTCGGGTTCTTTGGACATGTTCTGAGGACAGCACTCTGCGCTCTGGTGCAGAGATGTTGGATAGTTGAGCTATAAATACTCAACTATCCAACAAACAACAACAGAGCATGGGCAGAGTTCCTACTGCAGTCCTCTGAAGAGGCCGGCCACAGAGACTGGCGAAACGTCAGGAAGAACAACCTTCAGAACATGGCCAAAGAGCCCGAAAAATCCACAACAACCATCAGATCCCGGCTGTGAAAGCCTTTGAGAATACAAGTAATTTCAGTTCACGGGTCACAATCCCCTTCCCCGGTCACTTCGTATTTCTGAGCAAATGGACTGTAATCCAACAAACCACACTTCAGTAAAGCTTCAGCTGGCCTTTCTGCCGTCAGAATGTTTTCCTTTTCCTTTTGTTATAAAAACATGCTGAGATGCGAGATGAACATCACACGTTCCTTTTTGTTAAACCCTTTCCCGAGCCGCTGGGAGAACAGAGAAGACACTGTTGAGGCCCAGAGGCAAGAAAGAGTGCGTAAGCCTCATGTTTAAATTGATCTAGTGTGTTTTGTCTCCTAGGTAACCTAACAGCATGACTGCGCGGCTTGGTGTGTTGAGAGCGCTAAAGAAAGACAGTTGTGTATTTGGTTGTTGTCATAGTCTTGGCATCATCCAGGAGGGGGCGTACAGCTCAAGCTGCTAATCCCAAAGATATGAGGGAAAAACATCTTCCCTACGCTCCGTGGTCTAGGTCTCTGGCTGTGGAGCCAGAGGTTGGGAGTTCGATTCCCTGCTGTGCGTCCCAAGAGAAGAGCCAGCCTGGGTAGCCTTGGGCCAGCTGCACACAGTCCCAGGACAACCCCAGAAGAAAGGAATGAGAAACGGTTTCTGAGTATTATTTACCTGGAAAACCCTGAGAAAGGCTCACCATAAATGCAAATTGATGATGATTATATGGACACATGTACAGAAGTACTAATTCTCCTGCATGGAGAATTAGTGCAGGGAAATCGCCCCAGAGGGAGACCACAGCTGCGATACAAGGATATCTGCAAGCAGGATCTGAAGGCCTTGGGAATGGACCTCAACAGATGGGAAACCTTGACCTCTAAGTGTTCAGCCTAGGGGCAGGCATTGCATCGTGGCCTCTCCCAATTTGAAGAGACCCTTGTCCAGCAGGCCGAGGCAAAGAGGCAGTCCTGAAAACAGCAAAATCAGGGAGCTGGACAGGGGACAAATTGTATTTGTCTTCAGGGTGGAAGAGATTGTTGTCATTCTCAAATTGGCCTTCTCAGCCATATGAGATGCTGCTCCAAGTCCTCCATACAAATCATACTTATACTTACCTGGCAGGGGAGATACCATGATCACGAAGTCCTCCATACAAATCATGTTACCATAGTCTCTCGAGACTGAAGGATGCCTACACACATGTACAGAAGTAACACTGAAAACAAGAGATCTGGTCAATGGAACGATCCTGCATTCAAAATTGAAATAGACCCATCAGGAATTCAAAGATGCAACACCTCAGGCATTCAAATTTTGCAAGCAACCCTGACAGCTTTCCATGGTGCAGGAGAATAGCAGGTCATGCACCCATGCCAGCCCGCCCTGCAGAGTAGGACCCACTCCTTCCCTTTGCAGTAGAAAAAAGAAAGAGCTGAAACACTGGGGGTTCTTCTGAGGCTGCCATTTCTTCAACGGCATAGCTCTCTCGGCACTATCGGTCTTGATCGCTGGGTTTTGGAGAAGGCAGCCGCCGCCAACGGAATCTACAGATAAAACCATGTGGGGCCATATTCCTCCCTCAGGGCCCACCTTGTGCTGCCACACACACACACACACACCAAGGACATTTGGTGGGTTCTAGGTGGTGGCGATGTGCCAAACCAACAGCAGACCAGACCAGAAAAGAGCACATGGTGTTCTAAGCTGTGTCAGGTTTATCTTTGAGGTTTATCCCCTTCAACCATGTGTATATCTGGGCATATGGGCGAACTGAAGTGTAGGCTTCACCTATATATATTCAGTTTTAGGCAAAAGAGAAAGCCAAGCAAACAATATAGATAGAGAGATATTGAATATATATTTGAGGCCGCCGCTCTTCTAAGCAAGGCGGTAGAGGAGCGGCGAAGCCTGCAAAGCGGCTGCCCTTCTCTTCTGGAGAGTACGGCCCCGCGGCGTCTGCCAATGATGAGTCAGGCGGCTTGGTGCTGATGCTGAGGCTGCTGCTGCTGCCCTCGCCTGCATCTCTCCCCGGATCGCCTCCTTTCTTCTTCTTCTTCTTCCTCGCCTGCATCTCTCCATCTTGAGCCATCGACGCAGGGGGAGGGCCCCCGGGCAGGGCAACGAGAGGGGCGACGGCTGCCCCCCCCTCTTTTTCCCCCACCCACGAACCAAATCATCCTCAGGCGCCCTTGGCGAGGGCCTCATCCGGCCGCGTTTTGTGAGTGTGAGTGTGTGTGTGTTTGTGCCTTCCCCCCCCCGCCCCCAGTCCAAAGACCTTCACGCTTCCAGGAAGGTGTAGCTTCTGCCTCTTTTAGGGAAACCATTTCTTCCTCCATCAAGGCCCGGAGAGGCTTCGGAGGGTCGGTTTCCACCGACGCGGGTTCAGGATGGCTGGTTCGTGCAGGATCACATTTCGATCGGCATGGCTGCACCGCCCGCAAGGTCCAGCGGCCTGAAGATGATCGAGAGGGGATTAAAGCCGTCTTGGTGAAGAAGGGGGAAAAGAACTGGGTTTGTTTTTGCCCCCCCCCGCTCCATATCCTGGATTATTTTTTGGGTGTGTGTGTGTGTGTGTTTGCATTTTCAAGCCAACCGTTGTATTGCAATTGTGTGTGTGTGTGTGTGGGAAGAACCAATCTTTCTGGGTCATCCTCCACTACAACACCCATCATCCCCTTGCACGGATGGAGAGGCTGGCTTTGACGAAGCGCGGAGCGACAGGCTAAAGGGAGGGAGAGAAAGGCCGAGGAAAGGAAGGCCGGGGATGCGGTCGGAGCCGGTCGTGTGAACGGGAGCCTCGCAAACAACCCGTGTGTGTGTGTGAGTGTGTGTGTGTGGGGCCTCTCTTGCCCCTCCCGCGGGTTCTGCGTTAAGGGGGCAAGAGGGTCCAGCAAGGAGGTCAGGAATCAAC